AAATTCAAAAAAAAAAAAAAAAAAGCAAGCAAACAAACAAACAAAAAAAGTGGATTCAGAAGCTTTTCATACTGCCCTAAAATTTCAAGCTCCATTCGTTTCGTTGTTCGAGTTAAGAACTTACGTTAAAAAATGAATTCATATGAGAGAAAATACTATAACATAAAAAGTTAAATTTAAATTTTTATAAAAGATAACACGGCAACAAAAGCTTAAATTATAATCCGAACTCGTAAAACGAACGGGGCATATTTCTCCGTAAATTAATTATAAAACGAAAATGTAGAGACTAGAAAAAGGGCATATAGCCCAGCCAATCTTTCAGCTGCGCTAGATGTAATAAAAATCGCTATACTTGTGTAACTCACATAAATAATATACACATCATCAGGATATACACATCCAATTTTCTATGCGACATATTGGCCGGCATTCCCACCTACTTCCCCACCCCACCCAAGAAAAGAAGAACAAATGGTTAATACATGGGGAAAGTAGAACAAGAAAAGCCCATAACACCAACATGTCTGTTCCTACTTTCTACACATACCATTATTTAGTGTCTCAAATAAATTGCGGCAAGTCTATCAGTAATCAGCATCATGAACTCAGCTTTGGACAGGTTCTGAATCTGGCTTTTGTCGTCCACTTTCAAGACCTGTGTTATCATGAACAAACATACAAGTGGTTATTCATGCCTTCTGACTTGACTAAAAATTTAGCATATTTTTTCATCCTACGACTCGAACTATTGCATGTTTCAACAGAAATGCCAGTAGTGGGATCACTTCTTACCATTCTCTTGCTTAACTGTTTTACTGTCGGGACTCGGGCAAGATTCTATATTAGAGCCAGTAGTTTCATTTACTGCTGATTTAGTTCCTAACTCACGATTGGCATGTTCTTTCGATTCACTTTTGTCTTCCAAGAGAGCACGAGCATCTGACTTGGTGCCCGTGTCACCATCATTGGCTGTTGGAGATGTGCCTGATCCAGGGACATTATGGGTGACGATCCTAGTGGGTGGCATGCCATGATTGTGTTCTCCCTCATATGTGGTTATCACCACTTTTGCGTCATGAGACGCTCTCTCCACATGCTTCTTAACTGGGCACCCGGAATTTGAGCATCTGTAGTAACTCCTGCATAACAAGTTTGCAGAACCCAGTTTGAACGAAGTAGCTTAAACTGCAACTGACAGGACTCAAAACCAACAACCTTCGCTAATATCAACAAGAAAAAAGACAAATAACAAACAAAAACCAGACTAAAGAGAGCTCGCACATGGCAGACTAAGTAAATTATTTAGTCCCCCCACAGTCGAAGACAATTGTATCTTGTTATCCTTTTAAAAAAAAAATAGTATCTTGTTCCGAGTCTTTCCACAAAAGCAAGATACCGGAATATGAGCAAGTAAAAATGAAGGAAAAGAATGGGTGCCTAAGAAATCGAAAGTTTCTGCAAACTGGAAATGGGAAAATGGTGCACGGACGGTAAAAGTAAAACTGAATTAAAAGCATCTTCCGATTCATTTTTATAACTCTATGGCAGACATTTAGTCCCATCATCAGTTCTTAACCAAATTAAGATGCTGAAAACAAGGATATTAGATTGTCTTGGCACATATGCGTCCTGACCTTTTGACACGCCGTCGTGGTGGAAGACACCAAAGTAAAATGTCAGAAGTAGTTGCAGTGATCCTAAAACTAAAGTCTATAAAAAGTCTAACTTTCTTCTTTCTTCCCCTACTCAGGAAAGAAAATATTATTTTATTTCCTTGTCGCAGATAAGACCTTTTACTTACTCATAGACAAAACAAGTATTCAAAGTAGACAGGCATCCGTCCTTCTTTCCAGCATTTTAAACCAGTATGCAGAGATGCAATGCATTTAGAGACCTAGCACAAATTTGACAATCTGTAAGCATGGAAAAGGACACAAACCTAGGATGTGGACTGCCTTTTACTATTTTCTGTCCATATTTACGCCATCTATGCCCGTCATTCACGATATCAACTTCACTCCGAGTCTGAACAACCAGTCGTGCTTCATTGATTGGCTTATCTACTGAAGTGGTTTTGTGATCATGTTCGTCTTTCTTCCTGTTTATGTGTGTATATGTAAGTATATTGGCAATAAGAAGAAAAGGCTAGCTCACGTATTTACCAGTATATAAACAAATTAAACTTACTAAATGGATTAACTTACTGTCGCTTTGAAGCTGGATCATCCTCACTCTTAACCTCTTTTATCTTATTTGACTGAGTAATACCCTTAGGACTATCATTAGCTGCAATATTTGTAACTGGAGGGATGTCCACACGCTCAGTTTTTGTAAGAGCTAGGCTACGCTCGTTCTTTGATACATCTTCAAGAGAATGTCAATAAGTAAGTCAATCGATATATCACTTAAGGACCAACATGAAGTAATTAATTATTAAATTTCTGTCACCTTCAGTAGTAGTCAAAGGTGGCTCTTTACGTCTTTGTTCAGCAGTGGACACAACAAAGCCAACAGCCAATGGGATATTATTATTAAGATGACGTTTCGGATGATCATGATGACCAAAGTACACAATATCTACAATCTGCCTGTCATGAGAGCACTCCAATTGTTTTTTGACCTGGCAATTTGGATGCGTACACCTGTAGTAACTCCTTACATATTCATTTCCCTTAACAAGTTTTTGACCATATTTTCTCCAGTTATATCCATCCTGTGCTACTTTCTCACGTATTATGGATGGAGTGCTTCCTTCCTGAACAGATTTCAAGGCCAGGACACCCGTTTCAGGACTCTGCGATGCTTTCTCTGGTACTGGCATTGTTTTCTCGGGTTCTATAGATGGAACACCTTTTTCTTGAGCTGATAACATCGTAGAAATCTCATCGTAAGAAATCACACACAACACACATGAATTTCCACTCTACGCATGTCAACTCTGGCCTGCACTAGAAGTATATCAACCCTGAGTACATAAATTCCCATAACTATGATTTCACTTTTGTCCTTTTCTTTCTTGGAAGAACAAGCTATTATCTGGCTAAAACACCAAAAGAAGCAGTAGAACCAAGCTAAAACCAAATAAGCAAGGATGACACAACAAGATCTACCAAAGCAAATGAAACTGAGGCCAACACCTAATGGATAAAAAAAAAAGAAATGAATAACATGGGATGGCACTAAGCATATAATAAAATCGGTAGTAAAGAACTTGAAACTTTGGATTTCAAGCCGAAAAATATTTGCAAGATAATAAATTTCTTTCACGGTAATATTAGTCACTCGCTTACAGCATACTTCTGGAGGTCACCAAAGTATACTGTTTTAATTCGGCTGAGCATGCCAAATTTAAAGGGGGAAGAAAACAACATAATATTCCTGTCACTGTATTTCTACTAAATCAAAAATCGTAATATACATGGAGATTAAAAACCGATTTAAAATGTAAGATAAACTAGAGATAAAATGAAGCATTACCCAAATGAAAAGGTTTAATTTCCTTTAAAATGAAGAAATTTGAAACGAATAGATATCAAATTCTAGTTTAAGCAGGCTTCCTATGTTGAGCACAGAGTTCAAATCACCACCATAAGTAGGTCTAATTCGTTTATAATTTTACGCTTTACAAGTTAGTAAAAATTTACATAAATTTGAAATAACAATAATTCTACAACACAAACTGAAATTGAGTTTACTTAATTGTTTCCTGACCACTTTTTCAACTTTCTCTGCAGCCAAACACACCAAAAACTGAATTACGAACATCAAATTGCCATAATTTCATTAAACTATCGAAAAACCAAGAACAAACAACAAGAATTCCAAAGATTAACACCCTAGAACTTCATTTTGAAGAAAAAACAAAAAAATTACTATTTTAGCTAACCTTTCAATCTTCGAGCTCAAACACCAAACCCTAGAAGAAAGTAATCAGGCGCTCCAATTCCACGTGAAACCAGAAATTTAGTGGCCGGAGATCACGCCTGTGAACGGAATCAGAGCCGGCGAGGTTGGAGGAGAGAGTTGGGTCAAGTGAGAGAGAAAACAAAAAGTGTTGAAGCTCAGGTTTTTCCGAAAGTCCAACATCCATTAATCTTATGTCGGAGAAAAAACGAGATTTTGAGTTTCAGTGTGGGGATATTTTGTTCCCCTGTTGTAGGTGCACGTGAGAATCTGTGTTCCTCAGTTTTCGGAGCCCTAATCCTTAATGGCGGCATCATGGTTTTCTAGTCGTTGATAATGATGCTTAGATTCAGTTCGTCCGATTTAGTAACGAAAAAATAGGATTTAGTTTGTCCGGAAGAGTGCTATACAGTTGCATTCATGAAATTATATCCGTAAACGTTTCAAAAACAAACAAAAAAATTATATCTTTAAAAAATGACTTATTATTAAGGTCTTTTTAATTTTATCGATTTAAGTCTAAAATTTGAGTTTTATTATAGTAAAAAACTCACAAAAATAATCATATTTAGACCTCGTTTATTTTACTAATTTAAGTTTTCAATTTTAAATTTTTACAGTAAAAAGTTCTCAGTAAATGTCACATCTAACTTTTTTTACTACAGTGAAAAGCTCTTAGAAAATGTCAAATCTCAACTCATATTGAAAACTCGAATCCACGAAATGAACAAAGCCTTACAGTAAAAAATTCTCACATAAAGTCACACATTAATTCAAATTAAAAACTCGAATCAACAAATTAAATTAGTCCTTGTGTGCTTGAAAATATTAAGGCAACACGTTTCCAAAATAGAAAATAGCATCTGAAAAAGAGTTCGCAACATAACCTGAACCTTCTTAGTGATAGGTCTGGTTGGGGGTTACTCATGTGATCAGGGGAATGAGATTTTGATGAGGCTGTAGTGGGTGATTATAGGCGCCGCGACTACCTCTTCTAGTAGCGGTGGACCTTCGTTGGATCCATATTGTTTGGGCTTTGTCGAGTATGTGGTGGGAGCGGAGAATAGGCATGAAAGAGGGCAATGGTGTTGGGGTCTGTTTGCATTAGCTGTCGTCGATGTGAGTGTTGGTTTCCGAAATGATTTTGGATGCAGAAACGTGTAATTAACGGATCGTGTATAATAAAAAAATTTATAAAATTTTAAAATGCTCTATAGATTATATTAATTTATGCATGAATAAATTAATCAAATTAATTCCTTGATTTAAGCTAGTTTAAACACCCGAATGTTACTCGTCAATTCCTTGAATCTACGAAGACGTGCGTGTGGGCACACCTTAAACAAAACAGAATTAACAAATAAACACTCAAAGTTTCCACAAACACCAACACATGCACGACGTGAAATTTTTAGAGAAAATTTTCCTTCCCACATTCTATAGAAAACCAGCCACTATTGTTAGGAGAGAGCAAAAATTGTGTTCTCTAATTTTCTACAATCTCCTATTTATAGTGTAGTAGTCAGACTCCCAAAAGAAATCCAATCTTTATCTCTAAGATAAAACTTGATAATTATCTCTCACTTCTAATTTGATTTTCGAAACAAAATCTATCTCCCTTATCCATATATTGGTCGGCCACCACTAGGGAGTAGGCGCATACAGTATGAGCTGGGCAATGCAAATTTCTGCATTTATCCTGCAGTCTAATTTTGACTCAAATTTCTATTTCTATTTAAGTCAAACTTAAATTAATTTGAATTTCAAATTGGACAACTTATCAAATAAGTCAATTGGATAATCTTAGAGAGCAAGCAACTGAATTCCAGAAAAAATCACATTGTGTTCAGCGTTCACACTATGTGAACACCTCACTATAGTAAAAAATAATTAATTATTCTTGGGTGTTTTTTTAGAATTCTATAATTCTAAAATTCTCATTTTGCCCTTAGTGCCTTGTAGGATTACAAGGACGACGTGAGGACTCATAGATCTATAATTTTGAGCTCAAAAAAAAATAATTAATTAAACTCTTTAATTAATTAATTAATTTTAAAAGTTACTCCACTATAAACTTGGAATTGCACTCTCATAATTATATACATAAATTACTTCTACACTCTGAAGTATCCATTTGATATAGTCATTACATATAGATCAATCATCCATAAATAATTCATAATTAGAGCTAGGTGAAATCTAACAACCTCTATAATAATTCATAAAATATTCAATAATATATGCACATAAAATAATGGATAAATTCTTTTTATTAAATAAATAATAAATATTCTATTACATTTCATTTTATATGCACATAAAATAAAGGATAATAATATATGCACAACAAGTGTTGGAACCGGTCCATGATCAGGGTTAAGCTATGCTTGTATTGTGAGGTCACTTGTATCAACATTATGTGTGTATCTCCTTGTTTTGGAATACATTTACCTTAAAAAAAATTAAAAAAAGAAAAGATCATACTAATAATTCTAATTTTTTTTTAAAGGTATAATTCTAAAGAGGGTAGTAAATATTTCATTAGTAATAGTTACATGTTTAACCCCCTTAATATTAAAATGTAGGCAGAGATCTAATAGACCATTGCAGAGACCAACAAAGGCCTTGTTCATTTCATCGATTCGAGATTTCAGTTCTACGTTTTTACAGTTAAAAGCTCTCAGAAAATGTCACATCTAACTTTTTTACTACAATTAAAAGCTCTAAGAAAATGTCACATCTCAGCTTGAAATAAAAACTTGAATCAGCGAAGCGAACAAGGCTAAAGTTTTGGCAAATCAAAGATACTAGAACCTTGTGTAGTTTTCAACTTCTTTGGAAAAATAAGAAAGAAAATGGTTTCCATCTGTTGTTGGTCGTTTTTGTACAAGGGACGTACAAGGGTCTAGGCCCACTAATTCTGTCCCGTGACACTGTTGGGCTCTTTTCGTGTACACAATCCACGCTCGGGAAACTCGCGTGGGACCGTGGTTTGGTGGCCTATAGGTAATCAAACGGGCCCATTTGTTTCTTAGTCTGATCCGATTTTAAGTCCGGCTTGGGGGGTTTTAAAATAATTAGGCTAAGGAATAGATGGTTGATGGAGAATCCAATCCCAAAAAATCCTTTGTTTACCTTTTAGGAGCCTTAGAAGCCTTTTCCTCGGCCTTTAGAGACTCAAAAGTCCAAAATTTAAGTCGTGGAACCTTTCCTTCCGGCGCCAGATGAGAAGTTTTTATGCTCCGGAGCGGGCCAAGGATTCATCTCCGTGGTAGTTGTTGCTCCGGAAGCTTCACTCTAGATGCCACCACAAAGGTGTTACTACAGATGCCCTTACGAAGATGCTTCCCATGCTCCATGAGACTCCTCTATGACTAAAGATACCTCCCGTGCTCCGAGAGACTCCTTTGTGTCTAAAGGTCCTTCCCGTGCTCCATGGAGGTTGAATGTGTCAAGTGCTCTAGTGACGGTTGTTTAGCCAAAAACGGAAGGCGGCGTTCTAGAGCTGGTCTGATGTACGTTTAGACCTTTGAGAATAGAAGCGTCCACAGAGCACCAGACTTTGTTAAACACTTTATGTGCTCCAGACCTGAGGAAGGTCCAATGTCAGTGAGAATTTCATATTTGGACTCCAAATACACCCATTTTTGACCAATTTGTTTGTTAAAGAGGAAAGCCACCTGATACAGGTGCTCTGGAGGGAAATAGTTCGCACAAGCCTCTGACAATGCGTGATTGTACGACTCTAGAGCGACTGCAAGAATCTCATCATATAAATGCCCCCATTCACCAGAACTTCATAACAACACTCAGACCATTCATATACTTGACCATCTGAGAAGGTCTCTTCCTTAGCCAAAACTATGAGTGATTCTCTTTTGAGAGTTCAAGTCTTTTGTGCTAAAGACTTAAGTTCTTTGAGCTTGTGCTCTTCAGGCTCGAAGATCCCCGAGTGAGTTCTAAAACTATACCCAGATCTTGAGCGTTTATCATCAAAAAGTCTCAAAACACTTTATGTGATCCATCCAAACTCATCTACAAGCTACATTCGAAGTTATTGATGTTTCTCCGGGAGTTCAAAAATCCACCTCCGTGGCTGGACTCCGCTGCTCCGGAGCACACTTCTAGAAAGCTGTAAAACTTCGTCTGCTGACATCTTTTCTCAGAGCAACACGTGTTCCTCTGAAGTGGACTTTGCCTCCTTTGTTGGAAATCCGTAAAACTTGCTCACATAGTGACCTGCATTCCTCCAGAGTGAGAATTCACCAGCTCTTCTAAATAGCCTTATCCACACCGATCGAGTCATACATTTGCTCTAGAGGCAACTTACGCTTGTCCTTATAGCACTTCTCTAAATAAGCCTTATCCATACTCTCTGAGTCAAATCTCCGTCAACTGTTCGGTTACTCCTCCCACCATACTTCGTCCATGTGATATCCATGACTGTATCCAAAGTCCTCCCATGCGTAAATTAGGGTCTTGGTAAGGTGGCGAAAAAGTGGGCCCTAGGATCCATTTTCTTCGGCTTACTTTGGGCCTAATCGATCCCCTCTTCTTTGTTAGAGGTCCTACCATACAAGCCCCTTTCTGGACGCCGCATGTTTCATCCGCATCAACACAACCATAGATCATGTTACACAAAGAACTTAAGTGTACACTATTCATATGTACGTGTACTATTCATGTATATAGTAATTGAGCATTATAACGGCTTATAATAAATTATCATGGATTATTTACCTAAGTAGTACCATAATAAAATAGAACTATAAAACGTAAATAGTAACGAGTTACGAATTCACACCTTACCAGTAGAATTCCAACCTTCGAATTCTAGAGCTAGAAACGTCCACTAAAAAGAAGTGTTTGAGAGAGAAAAGGAAAAAGAAATTCCTTTCTGAAATTCTAGGGTAAGAAAAAACTAAATTCTAAAGGTCTATTTATACGAAAACTCTGGGTACTATTACATAATAAAATATTATTTGTGAATATTAACTTTTTAAAAATAATATATTTTAATAATATCGTTTATTTATTAGTATCTGCTCCCTTATCTTTCTTGCTCTCAATCATTAGAGTCCGTTTGGTACCTAGATTCGTTCCCTGATTCGAATCATGGTTCGTGGTTCGCTATAGTATTTTCTCTCACAAAAAATACATGTAAATCGAAAATGGTTCTAATCACATAGTTTGAATCCATGAACCAAACACCACCTTATTCTCATTATATATATATATATATACATATATATATACTTTATATATATATATATACTTTATATATATATATATACTTTATATATATATATATTATATATTTAAGTGAAATAGGCTTATCCGATCTCTTTTATGCTCATCTTTTTCGATTTTTGATTTTCTCATCATATTCCTTGACCTACACTTAAGAGTAATAAATTTTTTTATCAAATCATCTTAGCCTATAATTATTTATTCCCAAAATACTCTCTTTCTTGAGACTAATACTTCAAACTATCAAAATTGAATTCTGACTTCGTTACTAAATTTTTAATATTCATCAAGGTATTCTCCATAATTTTCCATAATTTTTGTACATCGATTGATATGTCTAATAATATTTTCCTCAAAATATTAACCAATGGTAAAATCTTCTAAATATTGTTCCAATAGTTATTTTGTTCAAACAGTAAGAAAATTGTCCCTAACGGATAATAAAGGTAAAAGTGTTCAACCACTTTTCCAACTGTTAAAAAGGGCTAGTTTTTATCCTATAAATAGTTAAGTTTTCTAACCTTCACATTTACCAAAAATTTCATTCTCCAAACATTTCTTTCAAAATGTTTCTTAGAAATCTCCTTCTTCTTTGTTCTTCATTAATAACTATAAACTTTATTATGTTAGCTATTATCATCTTTTTGCTCGTAATTGTAATCATGTGTCACTACAATTTTAGGCCATATGATCGTCGTGTTCAGGAACATCAAGATTAACTTTTCTATAATTTTCTCAAAAGTGTAGTAAAATACTTTATTTATTGAAATATAAGGCAGGGTGTTACACACAATCAAGTCATAATTCAAGTTATGATTTGAGTTTTGAAATGAACATCAACTATGTTTTTAGGGACTTGAGGTATAAAAAGGCCTTAAAATGTAGGCATCTCAAAATAATTTAACCAAAAAAAAGGAAGTAAGGATCGGTGTAAATGGAATAAGAGTATGGAGAGCCAAGTGTCCAAATTTTTAAAGTGGGGATCTAAAATACCAAAAATTAAAAAGTTTAAGAACCTCTAACGCAAATATCTTTTTTTTTCTTTTCTTGCTCAGAATTCAGAACAAGTATTTTATTTGGAGGGAATAAAAAAAAAAGATTATATAACACTTTGCTCTTCGATCTTCAAAACGTAACACCTTAGCCCCGTGAATTATGAATTGTTAACAAAATGCTCTTTTTGTTAGTGTTTCGAACGAAATCGCCACATGTCACACATATATTAATTTTTGCTAAATAATTTGGTGCACTATTACTCTTGTATTTGTGATTCTTATATTTATATTTTTTAAAAATAAATGTTAATTTTAATTTTATATGATAATAAATAAAATAAAACAATAAAACAAAAGTTTTAATTTACTCTTATAATTATACAAGAAAATTACTTGGAAAGTTTAAATTTTTTTGAATATAGAAAATTTTAAGTTTTAATTTGTAGTATTTTTTTCAAGAAAATGCAGGATTATTAAAATACTTTGTGTAATATGAACCACTTTTCTGTAATGTTAGAAAATAAACAGGAGGAACATTTTTGTTAATAATTTATAGTTTGAGGAAACAAATATTACGAACCTGTTTGGTTAGAGAATTTGTTATCTGATTCGAATCATAATTTATGATTCTCTATAGTATTTTTTTTCATAAAAAATATACATAAATTAAAAATAATTTTAATCTCATAATTATAATTTATGAACCAAACGACTTGTACATTTTGAAGATCGGCGAAAGGTAATAGTTTGGAAGAAATTTTTATAATTAATCTAAAAGGTTCTTATTTAATTAAACGGGATTTTTTTTAATGAATTAAAGTTAGGATTTAAACGGAAGAGACGCGTTTTTGTTTTTTTTGTTTTTTTGTTTTTATCTTATTACAAAAGGAGCACTTATCTTCAGGAAAAAAGCTAGCGCGCGTTAAAAAACAATTCGGTTTCCAAAGCGAAATTCAAAGACACGGAGAAGAGAAGAGAAAAGAACCCTAATTCCCCTTCGACCTCTGATTTCGCGCAATTTGCCCTTTGCCGAAACCCTAACCCTAGCTCTGATCCCCAATTGAAGAAGAATGCTTCTCTCTCCGGGTCATTCTCCTCGAAATCTCTCATCCCCTTCACCCAGTACAGTCTCCGACAATGCCCCAGAAAACCCTAGCCGTTCTTCTGCAATCACCCCGACAAACCCTAGAAAACAGCCCACGGTCCTCGATGAAGATTCCTACGTCGCCGCGATCGAGAAGATCATCGAGCGCGACTTCTTCCCCGACATCTCGAAGCTTCGCGACCGCCTCGATTGGCTGGAGGCGATCAAGACTGGGGATCCTGTTCAGATTCGAGACGCCCAGTTGAAGATTATCGAGCGCCGAGGCAAGAAGGTGAGCAATTCTACCTCCGATCGGAGAACTCAGACTCCTGGTTCTACTTTTGCGCGCAATTTCACTCCTTTCGAGGAGTTTGATGCCAAAACCCCGAAAACCCCTGGTGTTAGGGCTCCTCAGGAAGGCGGGGAGCCCGGGGAGGGCGAGGAAGGCGTTGACGACTCGTTTTCGCTCGATGAGTTCTTTAGGCGGTACACAAGTGAGGATAATTATAGTTTCTCGAATATTCTAGAGAAGGTGAATAGGAAGAGAAAGGAGAGATATGGGTATTTGACTGAAGGGGAAAAGGAAGATGTTAAGGCGATTGAGGATGTGAAGAGGGATAGGATTACTGATGGGTATGGGACGTCTTATCAGCCTCCAAGTACTCTGGAGAGTTGGAAGTACACGGCGAAGAATTTGCTCATGTATCATCCAGCGGATCGTGGCGAAGCGCCATTGACGGAGGAGGAACGTGCCGTTAGGATGAAGGGCTTAGAGAAGGAGATCAATCGGTCCAATACTAGATTTCATGGCAAAGTGATGGATTCTAGGCCTACGGATGATGGTACTGTTGAAGTTCTTTATACCCCTGTTGCTGGTGCAACCCCGGTTCCCATGAGTAGAGATGGGGATAAGTCGAAGAAGTATGATTTGGAGGATTTGAGGAAGACCCCAAATCCGTTTTACTTAGTATCGGAGAAGAAAACCGAGAATGGTTATAGCTTTGTTAGGACTCCTTCGCCTGCACCGGGTGTTGATGAGTCCCCGTTTATTACATGGGGTGAGATTGAAGGGACGCCATTGAGGTTGGAGTCTGAGGACACCCCAATTGATATCGGCGGCAGTGGTGATGGACCTCATTATAAGATCCCGTGCCTGCCTGCAAGAGATGAGAAGGCACATTCACTGTCTAGAGAAGCTGCACGAAAGCTGAGAGAGAGATCGAAAATGTTTCGGAAGCCGCCGTTGCCGTCCCCTGTTAGAGGTGGCAGTGCTAGTCCGAGTGTGCGGACATTTTCTCCTGCTGCTCAGAAGTTTATGAGGAGTGCAATTGCGAAGACTACGTCGTCTGTTGATGAATCTCTTCGTGCCAGTTACAGAGGTGCAAGCCCGGGGCTTGCCAGTCCCAAGGGTGGGAGGAGTGTTTCAAGACTTGGAAGAGATAGTAGTAGGGCTTCAAGGTCACCTGTTGTTGGAGAAGGTTCTAATCCTCCTTGGTAATTCACTAATTTGTAATTTGCTTTCTGAGCAGTATAGGAATACTTCCCCCTTTTACTTCAATACTTGTATAGAGTAGACAAGCTCTGTTGTTCCCTTTTATATCATAATCTGAAATATGGTATGAGCATACAATTTTCCAAAATTGCTGTTTGAATTTGCGAGTATGGTAGTTGAAATACCTATAATACCCGCACTATTTTTTTTTTATTATTTAAAAATAACTTGATACTCATGCTACTTTCAGTTCTCTTTAAATTGATACATAGTAATTAGGAATTTACAAGGTTAGATGAATCAGTAATCTGTCAACAATAAGCATATGTTTAACTTACATTAGAGCGAGTGTTGAGATCCTTTATTATAAGAATTGTGGAAAGTTGGATGAGACAGTGCCTGCCACCAATAAGCTGCCATATTCAACTTACCTTAAGAGTCAAGAGCTTATTAGAAAATGCATTTTTCTCGAGTCAAGCTGAATAATTTACTAAGGCCTAAGGTACTGCTTCATGATCAGGTTTGCCTATTCATCTGCCTTAACCAGGTTCACTCATTTTTCTGTGGTTCAGTATCGTTTGGTTGTTCAACTTGAAGGTCATTTTCAGATGTATTCACAAGTGTTTTGTTTAAAGATCACAATCAGGAAAATCTGGAACCGACTTTCATGTTTATTTATTTATTATTTTTTTTTTTTGTATTTGTTTTTGTGGCTGATGCTAATTTGCTGTCGTAGCAATTATTATTGCTAGTGTGTTTTGGTTGGAAGTTATTATGTGCCATATTTTTTTTTTCAACTCTTTTGGTAATACTTGAAACAGCTTTCTATCTCTTCCTTGTTTAGACATAGCTGCATACCTTTGCTTGAAGATCCAATTAATCAAAAGAAGTCTATTTAGTGTTGGTTTTTATGTGAATAATGAAGTTGACACTGCTTCATAGATTCTTAATAGGACCATGTCCGTCTTATGTATGTTAGATGGAATTTAGATGCGTTTGGATTGTACGGCATATTGTTTGTGTTAAGAGTGCCTTTTGGTTTGCTTCTATGGGAAGAGATTACCTTTCTTTTATGGGGATGACTCTAGACCTTACTGCTAGATGATTTATTTGTGTTGTCAGTTTTGAAAGAAAACCGCCTTGTGATTTTTAGTTCAAACAATTTGATTTTTGGACGTCATGCTTCTTAGAGGAGACTTTTATAATCCTTTCTTGTTGCATGTTAATTTAGGTTCTTGTTTTAGTAGAAAGGTGCTGATAGAGTTTGCTGGACTTTTCTGTTTGCTCTTATACCAAGTTCGTTATAATAACCATCAAACTATTACTGGGAATTTGGTATGATGTGCATCTCATTGCGAATACATTTTGGTAATGGTCAGTCATCTTTCTCTCTCTCTCTCTCTCTCTCTCTTTTTAATCTTTTCTTCACTCTCTATCAGCTGAAGATTTCTTCTCGTCTTCTCAAGTTATAACTAGTTTGAGCATTCTTATTATTATTAAGATCTAGAGTCTGAACGATAAAACCAAAAATGTTGCTTCTCCCATTTCTCGTGGGAGATCACATTTGAAATTGACTTTCCAACCTTCTCGGTTTGTCTAGGAGCAATGTTACTTTTGGTAGAGAGAAGGAATGAGAAAATCTCTAGTCTTGTAAGTCTTTGATTGATATCTGGCACGGGTCTTGCATGGACCTTTTTGTTAGCTGAAAAATCACCTGCAGCCATTGATTTTTAGTTTTCTCAATTGTTTATGTAGAGGTCGTCGCCTACTTTCAATAGGTTCACAAGTTTCACAAAACATGATTTCTTCAAATCTTACCCTTTTTTGGCCTTTTCTGGCTGGGACTCCTCAAATATCACTTTTATGGTTTGAATGTATAGTGTGCGTTGTGGATATCACAATAGAACCTCCACATTATTTGGTTGTAGAAATCCTTTTGTATTTTGTTTTCTTTTAAGATGCATGAAGGACTAGATTTAGGAAGATTTGGGGCCAGCTTAGGATAATTGATGTGCTTTTAATATAACACTACTTTTACTTTAAACAAAAACAGACTAAAAGTAGAATTTAAAGCTACACATTTTAACTTTGTAAAATAACTTAAAAAGTGTAAAAGTGCATTGATTTATGTGCAAAGTGTTTTTGTGCACTTTTACTAAATATTATAATTACATCGTTTATTTGTTCCAAGTGTTTTTTAGAGTTTTAAAAGCAATCCTAAACACACCATTAATCCAGTAAAAAAAAAAAAAAAGAAAAGGAAATTTCACATATATGGCTATTTGTACCCATGAAGTATGTGTCTGACCATCTATTCCGCACCTTTGATACATAAGGCTTAAAAAAAAAAAAAAAAAAAAGCCAACAACACTAGGCTACATATAGTCTTATGACCAATGGTAATGAATGATATTTGGTACGGATTCTTCTCAAATACATTTTTATTTTCCGTTTTAATTTTTCTTTCTTGGAAAATGTGAAAAACGTGTCATGACAATTTACTTTCTGAATTTAATTGTTGAATTCTTGTAAGTTTAAGTCATAAATTCCAATCTTTAACGGAGTTAAATTTTAAAAAATTCTATGACTAAATTAGTGACTAAGTAAATTACCAAAAAATGAAATATTTTGAATATGAAAGTGTCAAAGGGACACAAGTGTTAAAAATGTCATTATTTTTGTTTAAAATTTAACTCTCGTTAATAATAAAATATAAATTTTATCATTTATAGATTTAAGAGTTAAATTATATATAAAAAAAAACAAGAAATAGTATGAAATGAGAAGTTCAAGCCTCAAGGACACATGTATTAAACACCCTATTCTTGCTCGTAGAGATTGTGAATAAAACTCAAGGGAGTTAGAAAAAACAAAAACAAAAAAAAGAGGACAATTTTCTCTTCGTTATTACTATCACGACGTCGTTTAAGTTGCGTTTAGTATGAAGGTTTAAATTAGAGTAGTTTTAATTTTAGAATCAGAACTATAATTTATGATTTAAACTTAGAGTTCAACCCATAGTTCTAGAATCGGAATCAGAACTAATAGTTTGAACCATCTAAAACTAAGAGAGATGATTTTATTTTGTAAGGTGGTTCTGGTTTAAAACATCATATAAGGGTTCAAACCTTCAACTAAAACTATCCAAATTAAACACTAATTTTTAAAAACCATTTTGTACATTTTACAAATAAATAAAAATCTTATTCATTTCACCGATTCGAGTTTTCAATTTCAATTTTACTATAGTTATAAGTTCCTACAAAACGTCACATCTAATTTTTTTAATACAGTTAAAAACTCATATAAAATTACGATCTCAACTCAAATTAAAAACTTAGGCCTAGTTCATTTTACCGATTCGAGTTTTCAGTTTTAAGTTTTTACAGTAAAAAGCTCTCAGAAAATGTCACATCTAACTTTTTATGCTACAGTGAAAAGCTCTTAAAAAATATCACATCTCAGCTCGAATTAAAAACTCGAATCTGCGAAGTGAACGAGGCCTAAATTTGTAAAATGAGACCAAAAGTTTGAGCCCCGTTCATTTTGCTGATTTGAGTTTAGAATTCGAAACTCAAATCAGGACGAGGCCTTTAACTAAATCATAATTTCGGTCCTAGAACTCTCGCATACGCAACCGAAACTCGTTTGAACAGATCCATCTGCTTTCCGTCACCGATAAATAGAGGAATCACCATTCTTCCCCCTCGTTTCCGTGTTTTTGCAAACTCAAACTCTCTTTTTACCTCCGCGCAAAAACGCCATTCCGTTAGCTTCCGATTTCCGCTTCGCGTTTTCAGAAAATCTTCATCATCTGAAGGTCTTCTCTCTCTCTCTCTCTCTCTCTCTCTCTCTCTACAAATGTATGAAATTGCTCGTTTCATATATCTTCCTGACTGTATATGCATGAATCTGCTAAAGTTTTAGAATCAAGCTTTCGATTGTATTTTTGAGCATTCTCTCTCGGATTTTCTCTGTAAATTAATTGTTCATTTCTCTTCCGCTATTTCTTATTTTTGCGTTTCACCTTCAATCACCTTGAGAGTTTTTGTTCGGAGCAGATTAATGATTCCCGCGATTTATGATATTTTCCTCTTTTTATTCTATTTTTTCCCCGTGCATTTCTTAAAATCTGCGTCTCTGTGTTTTCTGCGTGAGTTATAAGCCTCGCATCTGTTCTTTTTTCCGTTAATGGATGATATTCTATGGGATTTTCGTTGTAGATTCGTTTTCCCATTGATATCAGCTTTGTCTGATCAAGTTCTGTTTAATGGACTATCTTTAAATTTTGACCCTAAAATTAAACAAAATTGCTTTTAGAAACAATATAGTTCTTTGTTGTTTTTTTTTTTTTTTTGTTTTGTTTTTGGATCAATCAAAGCCAAGGTGATTTGTTCATAAATTTCGCTTTTAAGGGGAAAAAAAATTGAAACAAATTTTTGACAGTTTCAATGTCGTGACTTTTGCGCGTATTGTCTTCAAATTCTTCTTTCAGTTTCATTAAATCTAGTCTTTATAATTTCTTCTTTACTTTTTTCTTACTTATTTGTGAAATTCAGCCATTTTGCTTTGTTCTTGATATCGTCATGGGGTCATCACAGATCTTTTTCTCCACCAAAAAGAAAAATCTATTTATTTGCTGCAATTGATCTTGAATTTCATGATAGAACAGACTACTGGAAATTCTAGAATCACATCTAGTAGAACTATTGTGTTTTTCTTTTTCTTTTCTTTTCTTTTTTTTTCCATTTTTTCTTGATAAAGCTAATCATCTTTATGTTTTTCTGCTTATTGTGTGGTAAGCTTGATCTTTGAAGATGCCGGATGAGACCACAATCACTTTTTATCGTGATGGTGAGCATTTTATTGAGGTTGATCCAACTGGACGGTATGGGCGGTACAACGATCTACTTGGTTCTGGAGCTGTGAAGAAGGTTTATATGGCGTTTGATCAGAAGGAAGGCATAGAAGTTGCTTGGAATCAGGTTCGCTTAGGACGGTTTAGTGAAGATCCATCGCTCATTAATCGGATCCACTCTGAGGTTCAGCTACTGAGATCATTGAAAAACAAATACATAATCACTTGTTATAGTGCCTGGAAGGATGAGGAGCGTAACACCATAAATTTCATTACCGAGGTGTGCACATCAGGGAACTTGAGAGAGTACAGGAAGAAGCATCGTCATGTGTCCATTAAGGCTTTGAAGAAGTGGTCGAAGCAGGTACTTGAGGGATTGGAATACCTCCACACTCATGAACCCTGCATTATTCACAGAGATCTTAATTGCAGTAACATCTTTGTTAATGGCAATACTGGCCAGGTAACGACAACTCTCATTTTTTTCCCCTCGTGCTTATATGAGCTTAGGTTAAGGTTTCTATATGCGTATTTTCGTCCAAATTCAAGTTTCTACTGATCTATTTTGATAATTTATTTCATCCCAAGTGTTTCATTTATTTGATGTGACTGCTTCTCATTTTTGCTACTTGGAAATCTGTAATGCGTTTGACTAGGCCATGTCTCTTGCAAATTTGAATTGAATATAAGTTTTTAGTCCGTCTGTTTTATATTAACATCAAGACTCCATTTGTGTATCTAGTCTTGAATATGCATAAAGTCAAAAGGGAACCTTGCATCTATTACTTGGAGCTCTATATTCGAAGACTAATTTTCTGAACAAACATGAATTTACTTTGACGTGGAGACATAAATTGTCCAGTCAAACTTCTGATGAAATTCAAGCATTATGATTTTATAGGTAAAAATTGGTGATCTGGGATTTGCAGCTATAGTTGGAAAGAGCCACTTAGCCCATTCAATAATAGGGACAATGGAGTACATGGCACCGGAGTTGTATGAGGAGGATTACACGGAGATGGTGGACATATACTCCTTCGCGATGTGCCTGCTCGAGGTGGTTACTATGGAGATACCTTACAGCGAATGTGACAGTGTTGCAAAGATATACAAGTACGTCACTACGGGGAAAAAGCCACAAGCCTTGAACAAGGTGGCTGATCCAGAAGTCAAGGCGTTTATTGAGAAGTGCATAGCTCAGCCAAGGGCTAGACCTTCAGCCTCTGAGCTTCTCAAGGATACGTTCTTTTCTGAACTCGGTGACGAAGAGACTGATGTGACACGTGCCTAGATATCTCACCAGCTTTACTGTTTCTGATTTAATGCTACTGATTGACGGGCTTCAATGAAGTGTATGCCGCCCATTTATCCGTTTCTCTCTCCCGACTCCTCGCCTCAAATTGTTCTACATGTAGATATACACGTATTACGTATACAATAGATCGAACCAATGATGCTTGTGTAGTTGTGTTGCTTGTACAACTAAACCTTAGATATGTCTTACTGGATTCATATGCTACTGTCTTGTATCATTTCGAACGTTTCTTAACATTTAACGACAGGAGCTCTGGTATTATGTCTTATCTAGCAAGTAGCAACAATCCCTTAACTAAAGGGACAATACTAAAAACTAGGGCTGGCAATCCGGGTATCGACACGACGATACGGCTCGAAATCCGCACGAAATTAGCGGGTTTGGGTTTATCATAAATAGGTCCGGGTCAAAATCAGGTCGAACCCGTGAAACACGATTAAATAACGAGTCATTTTCAGGTTGACCTGTCAACCCGTAAATTCACTGTTTGGTACAATGTTATAAGATATATACATACATATATAGACACACACACACACACACATATATATATGTGTGTGTGTTTGTGTATATGAAAAATACCCAAAAAACTCTTTGTCAAAATATCACTTTCACCCCTCTTATTATACAAATGCTCAAAACAATCTCTGCGTTTATAAAAAGAATTCAAAATATCCCCTAAAGCAGTTAAAATTTTGTAAATGCCATGATTATTAAAATGTTATATTAAATATGATTTAACTAAAAAATTAAATATAAAATTTTAAAAATGCTCAAATAAATATTTTAATCAAAGAAATACTTCAATTATTTTAAGAGTTTTTCATTTCTTAAGATGCATTTTATTTAACATTTCGTTTAATAATGTTCTAAATTGTATTTGATAAAAATTGGGAAGGGTAATATTGATATTTTAAAAAATTTATTTGTTTTAAAGAGTGTTTTGGATCTGATTTTATAAATATAGGGGTATTTTGAGTATTATCCTGTGTGTGTATATATATTGTATGTGGGATTTTAATTTCATCCGGCCGGCTCGATGGTTCAGCTCTTATGTGGCAAAAGTTATAGCAATTAAGTGACGTATATGCGCTTAAATGATGAGTTTAATTGATTGTTCGTAAATTTTTAATTAATTGATTATGTTTGCTATCGGTTGTAGCAAGTTTTGGATGGTTATTAGCATGGTTCTAAATTTGTATTTTTTTGAGAGGGTGCTTCGTAATGCAATAATTTATTTCTATATGGTTTGGTTTAATTAAACGCCGACAACTTTTGTGATGAAAAAACATAACAATTGTTTCCAACGTAACTTTGTGCACTGCACTGGTGCAATTACAACGCAACTTTGTCAACTTTTAAAAGTTGTGAGGATCAATTTTTTAATTTGCAGATTAAATGTCTTGCACCTTATATTTTATATGCATTTACATTGTGTATGATGTAAGAAGAAATTAATATAAATTAAAGGCATAGTCCACTTTTACCTCTCTTATTATACAAATACCCAAAACATCTCTTGTGTTTAGAAAAGGACTCAAAACACCCGAGAAACAATAAAATTTTGAAAATGCCATAATTGTACTTTTCAATTTATATATAAATATTATTTTAGATATGATTTACCTAAAAAGTTAAATAAATTTTTTTTAAAAAAATACTCAAATAAATATTCTAATGAAAGAAATACTTTAATTATTTTAAAGAGTTTTTCATTTTTTTTAAGGTTGATTTTATTTAACGTTTTGATTTAATAATGTCTTAAACTGTATTTAATAAAATTAGGAAGGATAAACTTAGTATTTAAAAAATTTATTTACTTCGGGTGGTTTAGGTTTGTTGTAATAAAATGGACGAAAATAGTATTTTGACAAAACACATAGAATATTTTAGGTATTATTCCATTATTTTCTCATAGAGCATCCTAATTAATGTTCTATATGATTTTGCCAACTGATTTTTTTAATATATATATATATTTAATAATATATACACTTAACCTGTCTACAATCTCTCTCTCACGCACATACGCTCGTGCGTGTGCAGACACACTAATATTCAACCAAAATACATGTTTCGATTGTTAATTTTTTTAATCTATTCTCGTTAAAATAACTTTTCTCAAATATGTGACTGTTTAAACATTTTTTAAGAAAGTAATTTTTTCCCCTCAAATGCGGTCTTCATAACTATTTTTCTATAATTTCTATACTAAAATAACTTCTCCTAAAATGTGTCCCTATCCAAATATTTTTTATTTGAATTCCTCTCAAATACTCTTTTCCATATGTACCTAATAAATAATTCAATGTGCAATTTGTTGCAGTTTTAGATATGATATACTTAACGATTTTTTTTTTATACTAAATTAGACTCTTAAATAAAATAAATAAATAAATAAATAAATAAATAAATAAAAAAGAACTTAAGCTTTTAAAGAAATTTTACATCTCCATGTTATGGTCAAGTCCTTCCTTTGTTTCAATTCCTTCGTTTCACTGAATGTTAATAAGCTCGTTAACAGGTTACTACCCCATGATTTTATTTTACATTATTTGGAAGATTTTAATCGAGCTCGAGGAAGTAAAAAAATCCACTTTCTACAGATAGAGCAAATCATACCAATTTTTCAAGTTTCAACTAAATGGAAGCCACCTAATACTAATTCAATTAGGTCTTGTTCATTTTACCGATTTGAGTTTTCAATTTCAGTTTTGCTACAGTTAAAAGTTCTCATGAAAAGTCACATCTACATTTTTTTGATACAATTAAAAGCTCTCACATAAAGTCACATCTCAACTCGAATTAAACACTCGAATCCGTAAACTGAATGAGACCTTAATATTTTCAACAACAAAAAAAAAAAGAAAAAAAATAAATGCCTCTTGAAAATTCTTATCCGTTAATAGTTATTTGAACGGTTCAAATAAACTGGATGTATTGTCCAGCCAGCTGGACTGAATCACTATCCTATATGTGTATGAGTACATATTTATATGTGTGTATATATGTATAATGTACAGTAAAACCCCCATAAAATAATATTGTCGGAACTAAGAAAGAGGTTTAATTTAGTGAGATTAATAATTTATCAATAAAGAATAATTTATTAATTTATCATTTAATGAATATTTATTAATTTATGAAGAGTTTTATATTTGATAATATATGCTATTTTGGTACGTGTATTCTTTTTTGGCAAAAATTCATGTATGAGTTATAAATAAATAAATAAAAAGTGAATGTAATCAAAATTAATATGTTCATATATAGAATTTCAAAAGTTATCATGTCTATAATAAATGTTATATACGTAACAAACAAAAATAACGCCAGAATTGTTTTGTTGTTCATTTGTTCATAGGTGGGTGGCGGATTTTGCCCACCAATTTAATTAATGGCTGATTTTTTTGTGAGGGTAAATAGCTGATTTTTTTTGTGCTCAATCACTATGGTATCATTCTAGCAAAAACAAAAAATCACTATAGTATCATTGTTTATCATTGTTAAATGGTTTATCACTGATCTATCAACATCTTATCAATGATAAACCTGTAAGTTATTGATTGAAGTTGGATAATCACTACTAATATTTGTCAATTAGTAATAAATCATCTGCATCAATCAAAAAAAAAAAAAAAATGTTGTTCCTGTGCCCCGCGGTTGCACATAGGCCCAGTTTAATAGTAATTTTTGGAGTTCAAAATCAATTTTCCAAGCCATCCACAACTGAAATTTGTGTTTGATAAAAATTATAAAAAGTGATTTTTAAAAAAATTTTAAAAAATTTACAGCTAAAATCAGAAGTAACCCAAAAACAGCTTTAACTTTTAGATTGTGCGACAATTTCCTTGCTTCCAATTAATGAAACATTCTAATACCCATATTTCCCCTGCTGAAATCTAAAATTCGCATACCCAAAATTTTTAAGACTCATCACATCTCTCTCTTCGCGGTGTCTCTCTCCATTTCTCTCTCTTTGTTCTCTTTGTCTCCCGCTCTCTCTCTCTCTTTCTCTCTCTATTGATTACTCATTAATACTGATTACTCACTAATGCGTAATTATATACTGTGAATGAAGAAATAAAAAAATATTAATGATTATAAATTTAATGTTCATAAACTCATATCTATATTGATCATCTTAATTACTCACAATAATTAAACCTCACAATTTACTAAATGATATTACATTACTTTTAAAATCAGTAACATTTGTATAATTATAAATACTAAACACTCTGACTATTTTTTATAACAATTGTTTTTTTTTTTACAATATTTTTTTTAAAATTTAGAACACTATCAAACTGGCCTTATATCTCTTATTCCTGTGCTGCGGTTGCTATATTGCACACATTTTTTTTTCCCCAATTTATTAGTACACATTTCGGCCAAAAGCAGCCTAGAATTTGAACTCCAATCTACATCAAGAAATAGTGCTTCTCCCTAGTCCATAGTCCATACAAGAAATCAGTGGGCGCCTACTTTGCTTCCCACGTGTAGAATCCTCATTTTATGGCTTGATTTTCCGACTGAGATTCACAATTATCATTCACATATATGTATTGTTTGAGACGTGAGTTATAATCATCACTGCACTTAAGAACATATGCCCACATATTCGGGTTGAACAACCCAGTTGTTGCAAAAGCTGTCAAGCGTTGCAATGCAATATTCGGTGTTTTAAATAGGATTATTAATACTATAAGCAGGTTCATTCCTTTTAATAATGTATCATCATGATCATCTTTAGCAATAGTGAGACCTTTTTTTTTTTTTTTCCTAAGTAGTAAGATGAAAATCTGTGATCTTTTAAATAAACTAGTAATATCACACACAAAAAAAATCAATTAGCACAGGAAGACCAAGGGCTCCACCATAAAAGAATAGAGTTCTAATTCAAAAGGTTAATTTCAGGTCCGTTTAGTTCACTGATTCGAGTTGAGATGTGATTTTATATGAGAGTTTTTTACTGCAGCAAAACTCAAATTCTAAACTTGAATCGTTAAAATAAAGGGGGCCTTAATGAGTCGAGTAGCCCACTCCCATATAAACTTATTATAGCTCCCATTTGTTGTCAATGTGGAATTTTATTCGCACCTCTAACAATTTTTTTTCCCCCTCAAAAACAAGAAAAGAACTAGATTTCATCCACGGGGCATTCCTTTACAGCAACAAATCTCTACTTTTTGTGTAGAAATCTTGGTTTAGACAACAACCTATACAACATTATTGGCACATTATTAGAAATATAAGCACAAATCATAATAAATGCCAAATGTGGAGACGTAGAAGTTTGTACGTAAATTATGCACATACATTAATAAAGGATATAAACAAATACAAAATGTGTCTTGTTATATATACTAAGCAAAAGTGATTTTGGGGATTGGAAGTTGCAGGGAGAAAAGTAAGCAGAACCCCTTCATTCAAAGCATCCGAATTTTCAGAAGCCGTGCCGTCTTGGCTATTTGCTTATGCTACAAATAACACAAATCTTAGCCCGCACTTCATCTTCTTCCTTACCATATTTTATTCCATTTTCAATTTATTTTGCTCTCTGATTCTCCTCCTAATTTCTCTTTCCCAATACAATCCTCTCTACATTTCTCCTTGAGATCCGATCCAACTCCCTTTATACTCCACCACATTATGCTTCATTTTTACTGTTTCATACATTTACCAAAACCTATGTCAATTAGGTCACTTTTTTTTTTCTTTTTCATGGGGTCTAGAAACTAGCCATTACTTTTAGAATAAAGGGGTAACGTTCTGAAATCATACAGGGGGACAACCATACTTGTAAGGCTATTAATCGTAACTATACAATTTTAAGTTAGATGGCGTCTATAAAGCAAGTGTAACGGCGTTTATTTAAGGAATCCTCTCAAAATATCTAATCTCATAATATAATGTATCGTAAAAAATTCAAGGATTTTTTTTTTTTTTTTTCTAATTGGTAGGAGATATCATGGTAGGAATCTATTAGCGTGCACTTTTTACATATGAAAGTTACAATATATTATAGGAAATAAGTATGCAGATTAGATAGTATGCAATTAGATTAATGTAACTGTTGAGAAACGTAGAACTCCATAACTTTGAGTTTAAATTTGACTTTGTAGATCTTAAGAAACATTGGATATTACTATTGATTGTGTAAAAATTAACAAAGGCGACAAATAAATAATCTTGTTACGCAAGTTTCACGTGAGAGGGTTTGAAAAAAATGAGAAAATTTTACCATATTCTACTGGCCGAGGAGGCCAAGTGGTGGCGCCAAGAATTCAACTTCTCAGCACTCGAGAACCCCCTTTTTTGAAGCCTTAAAAATAGGGTGTGCACTCGTGTGCATTTTGACTTTTGACTAGAAAAAATAAAGTAAATTAAAAATAAAAACAACCAAAATAAACTGCACGAATGTGTGTGGACAACAAACTGATTAAACCACCTCTGTTTTCTCTTCCCCTCCACTTCTTTTCCACTGGCTTTTCTCAATTCAAGAAATCTAGTATAGTGTTATGTACCATTCTTTTCGATTTTTGAGACAAGTTTCAAGCATTTATGTCCATCCAAATAGGAAATAAGTGCTTTCCAAAGCTGTACTTCCAATAGGCATTGAGCTGAAAATCATTTTTATGAGCTTTGTTAATGGAAGTCCCTAGCTCCAAAGATAGTTCAGTGGCTTCAAGTCCTTTCTCGTCGCCTAATGTCGGTGCCTTGCTCAAGATTAGAGTCATCTCATGGTAACACCCTTTATAATGGACTCCTTTTTCTTATTTCATTCCTTTATAATTTTCTTCTCAAGTTTTTTGTTAAATCTTGTTTGATTAGGAGCCAAGAGACTGGTTTGCCTGTCACAATTCGTGTTCGAGTTGGCGAAAAGACCTTTAACCTGCACAAGGTAAGACTATTAGAGCCTAAATTTAGTACTAGAAACAAGATTGTCATCTGTTTTCAGAAATCTTGAAGCAAATGAGCCTTAATCAGTTTTTCTTTTCTTTTTTTTTTTTATTGTTGATTTTCAGCATCCATTGTTTTCAAAGAGCGGGTACTTCAAGAAAATGTTGAATGACTCGACTGAGCTTGAGCTACCAGAAGACTTCCCTGGAGGACCAGAGACCTTTGAGATGATTGCACTCTTCCTCTATGGCTCCTCCACATTGATCGACCCTTTCAACGTGGCAGCTCTCCGCTGCGCGGCTGAGTATCTCGAAATGACAGAAGAGTACTGCCACAACAACCTCTGCGAGCGGTTTGATCTCTATTTGAACCAAGTAGTCTTGCAGAGTTGGGATGACACACTAATAGTCCTCCAAAAGTGTCAAAAACTGCTTCCCTGGTCTGAGGAGCTCTTAATCGTTAGCCGCTGTATTGAGTCACTAGCCTTCATGGCTTGTATGGAAATCCTTGATCCAGAAAGGAGACGCGACCAACCGGTGGTGACATTGGAGACACTGGCCAGCCAGAGTTGGAATTCTGAAACTATGAAGGAAATAGTGTATCGTGAACTCTGGATCAAAGACCTTATTGCTCTACAGTTCGGATTCTTCAAACGGATAATTGGGTCGTTGCGAAGACAAGGTATGAAGGAGAGGTATGTTAGCCCCATTATTGTTTTCTATGCAAACAAATGGGTGCTGTCCAAGAAAACACGCCAGTTCTGGGAGAACTCGGGCAAAAAGGTTGTGGATTGCGACATGAATCGTAGAATCCCGATAATTCTACAAGGTGTTCTTGAGCTGCTGCCCATGAGGGAGAAGGCAAGTAGAGTTATTCCAGTTGGGTTTTACTTTGCACTGCTTTCTAGATCCCTTAAAGTTGGTTTGAAAGATGACAGTAAGGCCAAGTTAAAAGAGAAAATTGCATCTTTGTTGCATTTTTCGCAAGTGGAAGACTTTTTGCTTCCAAGTAGTGAAAAAGGATCTGTTTCTTCTAGTGTGGAGTTGGCTACAATGGAGAGCATAATTTCGATATATCTATCGTCTAACTTGGATACAGATCATACACTTTCAGCAAGAAATTCAATCATTGCAGAATTATGGGATTCATATCTTGCACTTGTAGCTCCTGACCCGGAAATGGGGCCTAAAAGATTTATGGAACTCATTGAAAAAGTACCAATATCATATAGACAGATTCATGACCAACTCTATAGGGCCATGAACACTTTCCTACAGGTAAGCTTTTTAAAACTTGTACATCAGTTTTAACTTTTTTAAGCTGACCCAGGTTTCAGCCTTGCTCTAGATTGAGGTTAACAGTAAAACATATTTTATTTCTTCAGGCACACCCGAACTTATCCCAAGAAGAGAAGGGGACAGTATGCAAGTACCTCAACTGCCAAAAACTATCACAAGAGGCATGCATTGAGGCAGTTCAAAACGAATTGATGCCGCTTCGTTTGATTGTCCAGGCACTTTTTGTGCAGCAACGCAACACACACCAAGCTTTCAAAGAATGTTCGGATTCCTTTAGATATGTACATTGTGGAGAATACTCAGGAAGCCTTTCGAGCTCTAGATGCCAATACTCCAAAAGCCTGATTCCGGGTGAGAGCCCATTGACAGATGGAGCCGAGCCAATTAGCAGACCCTTGAGCTTCTTGCTACAGAAAGACGCTGCGAATCAGGGACCTGAGATTTCAAGGAAGGAATATGAGTCAACAAGCTTCAGAATTCAGAATCTAGAGCAAGAGCTCATGTCGTTGAAGAGGAGCATCAAATGGCAGAATATTTCAAAGAAAACAGAACAGGTTTCAGGAAAACCGCCTAGTGTGAAACCCTTTGGTAAGGACAGTAGATCTCTAAACAAAAGGTTGAATCCGCTTGGACAAGTGACAAGCTGCATTGGTACTGTAAATTTTGCCTCGCAAAGAAGATATGCCAATCGGCTACTTAAGGTCTTTCGTCGGATAACCTTGTTCGGAAGTAGAAAACCAAATCGAAAGCCAGGTCCCTCTGTCTCATGGTCCAAGTAGCTTTAAGCACAAAGTTGTATCAAAATCAAAAGTAGAAAACCTGTGATGATCATGAACAGCTGAATAATTGTCCTTTCTCTGAATTTGTGTATATAATTTTGCAAATTGCTAGCACATATCTTTAATTTTCTTTTGGACGTATGCATCTGACTTAGAGTTGTCAAACGTGCCGTGTCAGGCGGGCACGGCACGTCCGACCCCAAGCCCGTGGCGGGTTTGGGCCGTGTCAGGGCCGGGCCTGAGGAGAAAATCTCAGGCCCGGTCCAGGCCCACTGTCCTAGTTCATAAGGGTCAGGGCCGGGCCTGGGCCCAGGTCCTTCAAGGGCCGGCCCTGGCCCTTGTACTTTTTTTTCTAAAATTTAATTAAAACAGAAAATATATCATATGCTCCCAAAAGATGTGATTTTATTGAATTGAGACAATACGAATAAGTACACATAAATGACTGCCTCGTTAAAAACCTTACCAAGTAAAACCCGTGGGGAGATCGAGACAAAACCTTAGTGAAGGAAAAAAGAGTGCAGTATTCTAGAAATAGTAAATTACAAAACCTAAGTGCTTCCAGAAGATTCTATTATTTCTAAGTTAAAAAAATAGTTTTGCATTGAATCATCCGTGTATTGTTGTTTTCGTCTTCTAGCATCTTCCCAGTCTTTAACGTACATTAGCCCCTCCAAGATATCTGAAACACATTCTGCTTCTCTTCTCGTCAAGTATTCGGTTACTTGTACTAAACGCTTGCTCTGATGCTACAGTTGATACTAGAGTTGTCAGAATGTCACGAGCTATTACGGACAATGTTGGAAAACGATCGGTCATGCTCTTCCACCACTATAAGATGTCCATTTTGTCGTCATAGATTATAAAATTTGCTTCAAAATATTTTACCAGTTCGGTAGACGCTTATGTTGATGACGATCATGTCGTTTCTCTTTCTTCTTTAAGAAACTCCACTACGAGCCTTTAGGTCCCAAACTGCTAGTTGACGTTGAAGTTCCTTGTTCTTTTTTATATGTAATGTATTTTGCTTCATACAAACTAAATACTTTTTTTAACATTTTCCTAGCGTCAGCAATAGTTAGTTGTATATCAATACCTAAATTTTCTGTTGTAGCAGTCATCAAAGATTCAGTCCCATCTACTCCGTACCTAGGATCTAAAATGGTTGTTAATGCATATAACATAGGACAACCTGACCAATAAATTTTAAATTTAATTTCCATTAGCTTAACTATGTTTTTAAAAAGTATTGTATCCTTATAATAAGAAAATGTTTCTGAAATATTAAATAGTTGATGTAAAACTAAATGTGCAGTAGGATAATAAACTCTGGAAAGTAATTCAATAGCATTGTAAAAAACTTCTAGAAATTTAAAAAAAAATACTTACCAATCTGCTAATCTGTATTGAAAATTAAAAGTTGATCGTTCTTCTTGTTTACATACGTTGTGATGAGCTGTGAATACGATAGTGTAGCCTTCAACATTAAATAGGTAGAATTCCACCTATGTCTCACGTCAGTTTAGAACTTTCTTGGGCGCATCTGACTGTTTCTATAATATTATTTGAATTCTTAGAGCCGAGCTCCAGAACTAGATATGAAGGATAAAGACTCTTTAATATTTGTTAGATTAACTGAAATATGTTCAATTCCTGCCTGACATACTAAATTGATTATGTGACACGCACACTGTTGATGAAAAATTTCTCCCACAAATACTAGTTTCAAACTACGTTTAAACATGTTAATTGCAGTCGTATTAGCTGACGCATTATCAAAATTAATAGTTAAAACTTTATCTTCTATCCCATAAAACCCACAAATTTTCATTATTGTACCAAACATAGCTTATGTGTTATGAGGATATTGACATAAACGAAAATCAATTATTCTTTTTTGTAAAACCCATTCATCATCAACGTAATGCGCTGTGACGCATAAATATCCAATTTTATTGTACTCTTCCCATATATTAGAAATATAAGATATAATAGTATTAAAAGTCCTAAAATTATCAACACGAGATTGTCTCATTGCATAAAACACTTTCATGCAATCAGAACGAGTTGTGTTTCTACTTACCCATTTCAATTGCAGGCAGAATACCATCTGTATAAATTCCTCGAGCGACGCATCATCTGCAAAAGAAAGAGGTAATTCAGCACTAGCTAGAAATTTAGCTAGTGCCTCACGAGCACGTTGTGCATCGTGTGTAAAATTTTGTGACCCTTGTGATGTGAGTGATAGTGTTTGTTAGCGGAACTCCACACTTCAACCTTGGTGCAACAATAGATATACTTTTCAATGTCTATCTAGATGACCAGTATCCCCACTCTTTTTATTAGAAAAGTATTTTTTACAATACTTACATACCGCACGTATTTTCATTTCACCTGTTTTTGGATTTAGTCGGGGCTCCTCTGTGAAATGCTGCCATGCAGGAGAAGTTCGCAATCTTTTTCCCCTAGCGCGTTCTCCAACTTCCTCGTTGTGCACTGAAGCATTATCAACCAAAGCATTTTCTAGTTCGGTGGGGGTGAGGATGGGAGGCATCATTTCATCCTCGAAAAATAGCTTATCACTAAGCTCAGGAAGAGCAGTGAAATCAAGAAAGTTTGATGCGGGCATTTTCTAAAAATTAAATGAACTTAAATTTTGTAAATGAAAGAGCGAGAAAATGAGGTGACATTTGGTAAGGGGATTCGTACCCTAATTCAAATCATGGTTCATGATTTGCTATAGTGTTTTTTCTCATAAAAAAGACACGTAAATTAAAAATGATTTTAATCTTATGATCCTAATCTATGAACCAATCGTGTCCTCGTGATTGCGAGAAAAAAGCTTAGAATCAAAATTAAAAAGACAAAATGAGATAGAATGAGAGTGAAATTTAAAGTTGAGAGTGAATTATTGTGTAGGATTTAAAGTAAGATTAAAGGGTATTTATAGAAAATTTTTGAAATTTTTTTTCATATGGTGACCGTTGGGCCTACAAAGGGCCCAACGGTCACAATCAGAAAGAGCTAGAGAGGTTTTTCACAAGCCTGGACCGGGCCAAATCCTAGCTTAGGCTGAACTGTGCTTAAACCGGGCGGCAAGCCTTCACAAGCTAAGGCCGAACTTAAGCTGTAGGCTGAGAAGCCGAAGCCCAACCCCAACCCATCAAACGTGCCAGACTAGCACGACCCATAACAATACCGTACCAAGCCGTGCCGAATCCGACACTATTACGGGCTAGGCCAAGCCATCCATAGACAGCTCAACCCACTTGACACCACTAATCTAACTTAACAATAATTAAGGAGAGAGATTGAATCACTATGCAAACACAAGAGGAGCAGTTCGTGTTAAAATTAACTCAAAAGAAATACTCATAAGGAAATGGCTTTCAGAAATCAGAACGAACTTCATTATATACACAAGGAGAATTACATCAAAACAGAAAGGGTAGAAAACCACTGAAAGTCCAAAGACTCCAGCTGGCATACAATACAAGTAGAATCAACTGATTTTTAATTTTTAGCCATATAGTCAGCCCACCCAAAATACCCTTATATATTTGTGATTAAAGCCACATTGTTACTAAACAACTGAAGCCGCCCCAATCTTAATCTTATGGGACTCGAGCACATGCCTTGCAGTTTCGATAGCAACTTGTCCACTGACATAGTGCTGGCGACAAACCGGCATATAAAGATCAGCCCCACCAATGAGCTCGGTCTGCTTGTCGTCCGTCTTCCTCAGAGTAAAGAAGGCCCTTTTCCCGCAGAGTTCGCAGCGAGCCGTCAACTTGGTGACGGTATCAGCAAGAGGAATTACTTCCAGCACAGATCCAAAGCTCCTCCTACCAATAGAAACAGTGAGATCAAACAGAAAATTGCAAGTACACCAACTAATGACAAACAATTTCATTTATTCCTACTAATACTTAACCAATCACGCCTTTACAAATTTAATAAAAACATATTTACAAGTTGATCGTAAAAGCCACCAATTATTCCATGAAGACAAATTTTATGATAAGACATGAAATAATACCCGATTGATATTATAAGGATGTTTTACTGTAAGATAACATGAATATATCAAACAAAATATAAAAAGTTTAACACTTTATAATTATCTAACAGGTAAAACAAATATTCATATTATACCACAGAATTCTCCAACTTGTAATTTCTCATCAATTGAAAATCTACAAGGATAATGATGATGTTTAACAATTTTTTTATCAATTTTTTTTTTATGTCGGAATAGTACCTCAGGTAATCGCCATCAAGACCAGCCAGAATTACCGTTTTGCCATCGTGGTCTGCAGCTTTGCAGCAGAAATCATAGAGATCGTCGAAGAACTGTGCTTCATCAACACCAATCACATCCAACTGTAAAACAGACAACCCATTTTTTATTCATCAAAAGATAATAATCAAATTCAAAGCGATGAACGCTAACATGAAAATGGAACAAACCCAGAAGTAGAAAAATTAATTACTTTGTTATAAGCTTCTTCCCCAAATTTTTGCTTAAAAGACGACAGATCCGGAAGCACCCAACACGGGAATTTCGCACCGTCGTGCGTCACAACTGAATCAACGGCGTACCTATTATCCTTACTAGATTTTATCATCACCACATTCCTAAGAAACAAGAATTAAAAAAAAAAAAAACCATTAAAATTCTCAAACAGAGGTCTAATTTCACCAAAAGAAGACAAAATAATTAGTACTAACCTGCCGCTGTTGCTTTCGGACTTGACGCGGCGGAGGAGTGAGGTGGTCTTGCCGGCGAACATGGGACCCATGATGACGTGGACAGATCCCACGCGCTCGTTGGTCAACGTGGGGGAGGGCTTGAAGGAGGAAGAAGAAGCCATGAATAATCTTTCTGCTCTGTCTGACTTTCAGACAAAAACTCAAACAGAGAGAGAGAGAGAGAGAGAGAGAGAGAGAAGGAAGATGGGGAAGAAGAGAGACGAAATGGGAATAAATAGTTGTTGAATCGTGTTCTTGTCTGTGTTTTCTTCCTTTTTAATATTCAAAGTTTGAAAGAAGGAAAGAGAGAAAGGGTTTGGAGGGAAACCAAAGATTTGAATTTGGAGGGAAATTGTTTTCTGAGAGTTGGCCAAACAGAGTGTTACACTTGTTAACGAGCGCGTGCGCGTGCCCGCTTTTTCTTTTTTTTCAAATGGGAGGCTTGCGCGGTACTCTTTCTTATTAAGCTTCTCTTATACTCTTTTAGAAAAACTTGCTTAGGACGCTTTTAGAAGCATTTTTTGAATTTCAATTTTCAAAAAAAACAAACAAACAAACAAGCAAACTTCTTTTATTACTTTTTAGTCAAGCTTAATAACAACAATTGTAATATTATTGTTTTTTTACTGTAAATAAATAACAAATATAATATAATTTTTAACATATTATATGGACTTGTCTATAGTCCTTCAGTTTAAAAATAAGGGACTTATTCCTCATGTGCCATCATAATCAGTTGAAAGATTAGTATAATTTTCTTATATTGAGTTGTGACAATTATTATTTTGAAAATTAGAAGTTGTTTTTAAATATATAGCAATAAATAATTGTCAATGATTTTGATTCAAATCAATGATTTAAATTTTGAATTCAAATTTTGTAAGAGAACCTGTTGACGGGAACTTTTTTTATTCAATTTTTTTTGTGAAAAAAATATTGCAACAGAATCATAATAATAAGTTTAAATGTGTGAATTAAATGAGCCTCAATGATTTTCCTTTTTTATTGAGAAAATTATATATTTTACCTTCTTAAGTACCTAACATCTCTTTTTTTTTTAAAAAACTCTATCTCTTAACTAGTTTTGGGCTAAAAGATAGAAATATATAAGCTAATATCAATGGGTAAAAATAAAAGAGGCTCCATTTTAGGGTTTTAAATATTTTTTTCAGAGAAAAACATTGGTAGCACAATCATTTACTACCAGTAGTATGTTCATCAACCGATGGTACACTATTATCTCCTATTAGTTTCCGGGTATGATACTCTTAGCGGCAATTTCAGTATTATTTAAGGTCTGTTCGGTGAGGTAGTTTTTGGGTGAAAAACTCAAAAAAATGTAACTCGATTTACAACTTTATTCGAGTTCATGTTCTTTTAAGTTTAAACTCGAGTTTGGAACTAAAACTCGAGTTCAAGTTTCCCCTTCAACTCGAGTTTAGAAACTCGAACTCAAGTTAATTAACAGTATTTTTTCTATTCTTAAAAATGCTATAATTTTTTCGTTTTAATTCTGATTGAGATGATTTTTTTTTCTATGCGTTGACAACGAAAAGACAAATAAAACTAGATCCATATACCCTATTAAAATTTTTCATCAGCATTGAGTTTTTATTAAAATACTATCTAAAAACAAATTCAAATTTTGACTTACTCAAACACAAACTCAAAAAAGATTCTTATCTCAAACCATAACTCAAATGTACACAACCAAACACAAACTCAAGTTACAACTTCAACTCAAGTTATAACTCAAACTCAACTCAAAATCTACACACTACACTCAAGTTACCTAACTCAAAAACATCAAAAGAACAAGCCCTTAGTCTGCTTGACATTTGCTGCAAGATCTTACTTTTTTCACGAGTAACTGATCAATCCAAAGATCTTTTTAAGAGCATCATGCACGTTGTACGGCTCCTTAGCAATAGTCAATCGTGCGCGTAGGGTCGGCAATATAAGTCACGACACAACAACACAATTTGAAAACGACACGAATTTCGTGGGTTAGGATGGAGAAAAAAAAAGTTCTGATTAAAATTGGGTCCACCTAAAATTGACACGAAAAACACTGATTAATTTCGGGTTAGACCCGCTTAACCCGAACACGACACAAAACTCGTATAAAACTAATATATATATATATATATATATTTCCTTACATATTTTAGATTTATTAAGAACTTGTGATAACATAATAGTTATACTCAAAATTTTATACATTTGCTTAATTTTGATGGATATTATTATATTTTAGTGTGTTATGAATTTTAAGTTATTTATAATATGTAAAAAACTAAATAAAAGTATATAATTTTCGGGTCAATTTCGTGTCACGGGTCATTTTTATGTGTCAGCCCGTAAAGTGGTCTTGTCATGTTCGTGTTGTGATTTTTAAAAAATTTCATGCCATGGGTCATATTCGGGTTGACTGTAAATTTAAGAAAAAACGATCAAAACACGACACGAACACGATACATGATACGAATTGTCACGCCTACATGCGTGCAAGATGGCCGAAAATCCATTTGGTTCACCAAAAAGAAAGAAAAATCCAAAGATTGTGATTTCAGTAATTGTGTGTGAGCCCTCCTTCCTAGCTAACAATTTTTTAATGTATCAAATTAGGAACCCCATGTTTTTAAAGTGTTAAGTTAAGGGCTTCAAATGTGTGGTTAAAAAAATCAGTACACTCCAATTTGTGGGCAATAATTACACTCAAAAATGAAAAATTTTGTGGGCAATAATTTGTGAAATATATAACTATTGAAAAGGATAAGATAACAATATGATTAACTTATAGATGTGGTTACAGGTTGGCCAACTTGATCCCCCGATTTAAATCTCATGTCAAGTTAATCAATTGGATGTATGTGACTGAGATAATACTGATTTTCCTTCGGTGGGATCACAATTTTATTGTGCATGTGATGTCTTTTTCTGCAAGATCTTACTTTTTTCACGAGTAACTGATCAATCCAAAGATCTTTCTTAGAGCATCAAGGCACGATGTACGGCTCCTTAGCAATAGTCGATCGTGCGCATAAGGCTGGCAATATGAGTTACAACACGATAACACGATTCGAAAACAACGTGAATTTTACGGGTTATGGTGGAGAAAAAATAGGTTCGCGTTAGAATTGAGTCGACTTGAAATTGACACGAAAAACACGAGTCAATTTCGGGTTAGACCCGCCTAACCCGAACACCACAAGAAACTCGTAAAAAACTAAAAAATATATATTTTTCATTACATATTTTAGATTTTATTATGAAATTGTGATATATGATAGTTATACTCAAAATCTTATACTATTATTTGCTTAATCATTGGCTATCATATAAATTTCTAAATTCACATTTCCTCAAAATCTTTCAGAGAAAAACATTGGTAGCACAATCATTTACTACCAGCAGTATGTTCATCAACCGATGGTACACTATTATCTCTATTAGTTTCCGGGTATGATACTCTTAGCGGCAATTTCAGTATTATTTAGTCTGCTTGACATTTGCTGCAAGATCTTACTTTTTTCACGAGTAACTGATCAATCCAAAGATCTTTTTAAGAGCATCATGCACGTTGTACGGCTCCTTAGCAATAGTCAATCGTGCGCGTAAGGTCGGCAATATAAGTCACGACACAACAACACAATTTGAAAACGACACGAATTTCGCGGGTTGAGATGGAGAAAAAAAAGTTCTGATTAAAATTAAGTCAACTTAAAATTGACGTGAAAAACACTGATTAATTTCGGGTTGGACCCGCCTAACCCGAACACGACACGAAACTCGTATAAAACTAATATATATATATTTCATTACATATTTTAGATTTATTACGAACTTGTGATGTCATAATAGTTATACTCAAAATTTTATACATTTGCGTAATTTTGATGGATGTTATTATATTTTAGTGTGTTATGAATTTTAAGTTATTTCTAATATGTAAAAAACTAAAGAAAAGTATATAATTTTTGGGTCAATTTCGTGTTACGGGTCATTTTCATGTGTCAACCCGTAAAGTGATCTTGTCATGTTCGTGTTGCGGTTTTTAAAAAATTTCATGCCATGGGTCATATTCGGGTTGACTGTAAATTTAAGAAAAAATGATCAAAACACGACATGAACACGATACATGATACGAATTGTCACGCCTACATGCGTGCAAGATGGCCGAAAACCCATTTGGTTCACCAAAAAGAAAGAAAAATCCAAAGATTGTGATTTCATTAATTGTGTGTGAGCCCTCCTTCCTAGCTAACAATTTTTTAATGTATCAAATTAGGAACCACATGTCTTTAAAGTGTTAAATTAAGGGCTTGAAATGTATGGTTAAAAAAATCAGTACACTCCAATTTGTGGGCAATAATTACACTCAAAAATGAAAAATTTTGTGGGCAATAATTTGTGAAATTTATAACTATTGAAAAGGATAAGATAACAAAATGATTAACTTATAGATGTGGTTACTGGTTGGCCAACTTGATCCCCAGATTTAAATCTCATGTCAAGTTAATCAATTGGATGTATGTGACTGAGATAATCCTGATTTTCCTTCGGTGGGATCACAATTTTATTGTGCATGTGATGTCTTTTCTTGTTACCTTCTCTACTTCGTGGTCAGAATTTCCAATATCATGTTAACTACCTTAGTATCCTAGTTAATGTTCACTGGTATGCTAATTATCTCTTATTAGTATCCGGGTATGATACTCTTAGCGGCAATTTCTGTATTGTTTAGTCTGCTTAACATTTTCTGCAAGATCTTACTTTTTTCACGAGTAACTGATAAATCCAAAGATCTTTCTTAAAGCATCAAGGCACGATGTACGGCTCCTTAGTAATAGTCGATCGTGCGCATAGGGCCGGCAATATGAGTTACGATACGATAACACGATTCGAAAACAACGTGAATTTTACGGGTTATGGTGGAGAAAAAAGAAGTTCACGTTAGAATTGGGTCGACTTGAAATTGACACGAAAAACACGAGTCAATTTCGGGTTAGACCCGCCTAACCCGAACACCACAAGAAACTCGTTAAAAACTAAAAAATATATATTTTTCATTACATATTTTATATTTTATTATGAAATTGTGATATATGATAGTTATACTCAAAATCTTATACTATTATTTGCTTAATTTTGATGGATGTTATTATATTTTAGTGTGTTATAAAATTTAAGTTATTTCTAATATGTAAAAAACTAAAGAAAAGTATATAAGTTTCGTGTCAATTTCAGGTTCACGGGTCATTTTTGTGTCGTGTTGTGTCAACTCGTAAAGTGGTCGTGTCATGTTCGTGTTGCGGTTTTTAAAAAATTTCGTGTCATGGGTAATGTTCGGCTTGACTACAAATTTAAAAATAAACGATCAAAATACGACACGAACACGATACGTAATAGGAATTGTCACGCCTACGTGCGCGCAAGATGGCCGAAAACCCATTGGTTCACCAAAAAGAACGAAAAATCCAAAGATTGTGATTTCAGTAATTGTGTGTGAGCCCTCCTTCCTAGCTAACAATTTTTTAATGTATCAAATTAGGAACCACATGTCTTTAAAGTGTTAAATTAAGGGCTTGAAATGTATGGTTAAAAAAAAATCAGTACACTCCAATTTGTGGGCAATAATTACACTCAAAAATGAAAAATTTTGTGGGCAATAATTTGTGAAATTTATAACTATTGAAAAGGATAAGATCGATAACAAAGATGTGGTTACTGGTTGGCCAACTTGATCCCCAGATTTAAATCTCATGTCAAGTTAATCAACTTGGAAGTATGTGACTGAGATAATCCTGATTTTCCTTCGGTGGGATCACAATTTTATTTTGCATGTGATGTCTTTTTTTGTTTCCTTCTCTATAAATAAAACTCGATCGAAAACCTTTTTTTTTTTATGCATTGCAAGAGTACAAACACTTTACACTAGTCTGATCTATTGTGTTCTCCATTTCCAAAACTGAACTACAAAAGTTTAAGAATACCAAAGAACGTATGGACACCACAAAACAGGCGAAGATTCCAATTGTTGTTTTCTCCAAACTAGAGGACTTGAAGCCTGGCACGAGTTCTTGGCTCTCGGCGCGAAAACAAGTATGCGACGCACTCGAAGAGCACAGTTATTTTGTTGCCAGACTATCGGAGGAAGTTTGTTTGGAGCTTCACAACAGAATCTTTTCTGCACTTGACGATCTGTTTGATTTCCCCAAAGAAAGTAGAGAGAAAAACATGTCCGAGAAGCCTTTCCGAGGCCACTACTCGGATAATGTCGCCATCGATAGTGTGGGGATTGATGATGCAACAAGCCTAGAAGAAGCTCTCAACTTTGCTAAGATCTTCTGGCCCAACGGAAACGACCGATTTAGGTAAAGAAATGCCAACATATATATTCAGAAAATCTTTCTCTGTTTTTTTCTCTTTTTTTTTTCTTTTTGTAAAGAAGAAAAAAATCTTAGGTATGGGATTCAAATCTCTACACCTTATTAAGGAGTCGCGTATAGAATTACTATACAATAGTTTAAAAAGTTAATTTCAGTGTTTAGATTAAGGTTAATTTCAAAGTTGACCTGCAAAGAATGTTGGTTATCTCACTTTGTGTCTTATGACGCAAAAGGGCACTAAACTTCTCATAAGCTTATAATTTATATCTTTATATTTCTATCATTGAGACTTTAACTTTTTGAGGGTTTTAGTTACATGTGGGTTACATGAGTATTTGATAAAGGAAAATATAATAAATTTAAACAAAAGAAACTTTAAAATTTTAAAATATAAAAAAAATCATAAGTCATAATCTTAAGTGACACTTCCTCCTTTTGCTCAAAATTATCGCATTGTCATCGCCTTTTTTATTACCTGTGAGTCTGTGACTAAGCATGATTAAAACTATAAAATATTGATGTTTTATTGACAGGAGCATGAAAGTTGCAATTTTTGATAAGCTTAATAGTTTGTTTTATTCAATTGTGTGAGTGTTAATAAGAGAGTGAGACAACCTCTATTATTTAAGTTTTAAATTTGAAGTAAAGTGAATGACTTTGGCTCTTCAAGTATATACATATACAAACATATTGTGTACAATTAATGAATTCAGGACAGAGAAAATAATTTATCTAGGTTTTTTAGATCATAATTACATGTTAATCTTCTAGTTTTAACGTTTTTCTAAAATATATATTTTTTTTTTGTGAAACTATAAAGTTATCTTTTAAATTTGAAAAAACTTGTTTTAATTTCACCCTCGCGCACTGTATGAAAAAAAACAAGGATAAAAGGCAAAGTCGCTCATAACTAAACAGAATTTATTCCTAGAAAATGTTTTTCTTTTTGTTGAGGAAAATTTATGAAATTTTCTTTAAGCATTTGAAAACATAAAATTCAAGATATATATATATATATATACACACACACACACACACACGTATGTATGTATATATTAATTTTATGTTTAGTTTATGATTTTTTAGCTTTATTAAATTTTTAGAATATTTTTAAGAAACTATATATTCAAGGGTATTTTGTCTTTTGTTACATTTTTTTTGTCCACAAAAAGGGATGAATTGCAATAAAATTTTGAAATCCGAATTTTATACCTTCATAGTTTGCAAGAATCAATAGATAATAAATTGATTAAAAAAAGTAAAATAATTATAGAATCCTAAGGAAACAGATTCATACATTCACTCCAGAATGCACCTTTTTCTTTCTTGTAATATTTGTGGGTACTAATTGGTATTTGAATTGTTTCATGCACGTATATATTTTCTTTAACCAGTGAAATTGTGAATTCATATGGGAAATTCATGACGGGACTGGATCAAACGGTGACGAGAATGATATTCGACTACTATGGTGTTGAAAAGTACAAGTGTGATTCACACATTAAATCGATGGAATATGTTCTCAAATTCACTAGGTACAAGTTAGAATCTGATCATCATCACCTACAAAAGAAAGAACAACCCTACGTAGCCATTGGTGAGCATGAAGACTTGAGCTTCACCACCATAATACATGATAACGATGTGAATGGTTTGGAGATCAAAACAAAGGATGGCAAATGGATTGTTTTTGATGGCTCGCCTTCATCCTTTTTAGTAATGGCAAGCGATGCTTTGCAGGTGGGACCCACATTCGTTATTAGCTAGGTTAAAAGTTTAGGGTTCTTGAGTAGCGGTGGTTTTTGCCCTAGTGTAAATTTTGACTATTAGATCTGATTAAAATCACACTATAAAAGTATTTATAACATAAATTAAGTTTTTGATAGAGATTTAACGCACGAAAGAGAGACCTTTCTGTAGTTATTTTTTTCAAGCCCTGCTGTTGAAATCTCCTATACAGGCATACATATAACGGTAAAACGTGTATACCTTGCATTAGAAATACCTTTAACTCCATAGGTTAACACGTTTATATTTGTTTTGTCATCATTGATTTGCCTGTAAGTGTTTTAAGGGAAATTTTGTTTTTTGGAAAATAACCAAAAAAAAAAAAAGATTATTAAAACAAATTTCAAATCATAGAGTACCGCACTTAAATTGATCATGCTTTAATTATTCATTAAGATAGATTTGACTGTATATGCTTCTAACTTAATTAGACAGTAATCATGAACGGATCATATAATTACTTGTCGTTTGGTTGAATCCCTTTCACCTGCAGTTATGGAGCAACGACAGAATAAAACCCTGCACGCATCGTGTCGTACTCAGAGAAAACAAAGTCAGATACTCTCTCTTGTTACTTACTTACAACAAAGGAATCATTTGTGTTCCAGAGGAGCTAATCGATGAGGAACACTCTTTGAGATATAAACCACTGAATCATCCTGAATATGTTGCACTTCAATACAGGGATACAAAAACCAGGCTTTGCCTCAAAAGCTTTTGTGGTGTTTGATTTTTTTTTTAATTTGTTTCAGTGAGTGTTAGTATTATCCAGATCATATATATATATATATATATATATATATATGCGCGCGCGCCGCACGCTATTTTGGGACGTTGTTGACTATTAAATAATGATCAATGATTGTGTTGTATAATGTGCGTAAAAAACTTGAGTGTTAAACAAATTGAAGTTTATGTATAAAATTTATATGTTTGGGTGATTCACACGGAACAATTATATATTTCTTTTATTTCTTGGGGGTGTTTTATATGCACTAGTCCGAGGCATGAGAATGGAAATCTACAAGGATTCTGATCATGTTTGGTATAATTGTTGTTTTTTTTTCCCCCCTTCAAAATTGAAAACCTTTTTTTTTTTTTTTTTTTTTTTTTTTTTTTTTTTTTTTTTACCAAAAAAAAGTGTGCTCTGCTTGCCCAGCTGCTAATCGAACTCTACCAGTTGCTGCCCCCTTGCAACAGGAAGAGCTCTCCTTCATCGTCGCTGATTCCTCTTCAAAGCTGCACATGAGAAGGTTCTGTCGCATGGCTCCATCTCCTTTTTTTTGTTTCTTTTTTTGCCATTCAGCGCAATTTACAGCAAATATTTTTAAAATATGTTAATTTACCGTAAAAAGTTTACTTTATTTTGGTAGATTTCCTAATTGGAAAATTTTTAAAAATACTCCGCTCATTTTCTTTCTACATCTTGAGATTTAGTATATTTTTATTTTCTAGACTAGAATTAATTAAATGATAAAATTTTTTAAAAAGAATACTTTTAATAAATGAGGTATTTAAGAAGGCAAAATTTGTAATTTTCTCTTCCTCTTGTGGACGTTTGGTTAATGGGTTCAAAATTATTTTATATTTACGTGTATTTTTTATAAAAAAAAATATTATAGCGAATCACGAATAATAATTCGAATCATTGCATAAATCTAGGAACCAAACGATTACATTTCTAAGAAAACCATGACCCAACTTCCAAGCCCACTGGACATGAAAGATTCATGAACGAACCTCCAATTAGGCCCATGTAAAAGAGTTGGAGCTTTCTCCTCTAGTTTTCTTTTGAGAGAGAGATGATTAAAAATATTATTTATGTCATTTTATTTAAAAATAAATAATTATTATTTAATTAATAAAAAAATAAAAAGTTAAAATAACATTTAATTATTTAAAATAGCATAAATAATTGACTTATAAATTATCTACTTTTCTCTTTCTTTTACGGACTCAATCTTAAGGCCCAAATGTATGAGAAAGCCATAAGAAAAAGAAAATGCACTAAATAACATATTTTAAAATTACGAAAATAGTAGAAAATATGTTAATATAAAAAGCTTAAGAAAGTATATAGGCCAATTTTTAGTTATAGAAATTAATAGGCCATAACTTGTCAAGTTATGGTTCATAATCAGATAAATTATGGACAAACTTGTTAAGTTATGGACAAAAACCGTGAATTATGAACAATAACTTGTCAAGTTATGGTTCATAACTAGATAAATTATGGACAAAAACATTAATTTGGCCTATTTATTAATTTATGTAAATTATTGACCTATTAATTTTAATTCATTTCAAGTCTTGACCTATTTCTCTCTTTCTCCCTTTTAAATATGCTTTTAAAGTAAGCAACATATTTTTGAAAAGATGATAAATTATAGCAGGTTTCTAATTTTAAATTATAAGATCCAGCAGGCAAAAAGACCAGGCCAAGTCTAGCCCGACCCGAATCCTCATGCAGAACAATCGTCGGGCCAAAGAAGTAGATAAGATGTCGGTCTATATTTACACAATTAAAAATATGATGGAACTTGATGAAGATTAGCATTGTATCGTATTGGTAGGATAAAAGTATAATAGAATGAGAAACCAGTAAACACAATTACTTTGTTTCATTTGCAATGAAATAAAATGTATTTATTGACTGTTTTAATATATCTTATTTCACATAAATAGTTACTAAAAATGTATTTAATTATCTATGTAAAATAATGATTTAATTACTTATTATTTATTTAATGAATATCTATTTATTTAATAAAAAGTAATTATCTTACTATTTTATTTAAATATTTTGAAGGCTTTAATATGAAAAGGATAATTAAGGGAAGATGAATTGAGATGAGAAATGAAAGTGCATTTTCCCCATTCATTCAGTTTAGGAAAAGCCATTCCATCAATTAGCGGAATGGAATAACTATTCTTTGATTAAAAAAACAAACCAAACAATATCTAAGTAAGAAATCAATATCTATGTAATATAGAAAATAATAATAATATCCGAAAAACTTTTATGGCGAGGATGCTATCTGTATTTCTGAAGGCGTGATCGTTTCAAGTTACAGTAGATATAATTTATTGGTGAATCTACAATCCCCCCAATGTTGAGATCTAAAGTTCCAATCTCCCACATCCAATTAAAAAAAAATGGTCAACTTCGTGATTTTTCTTCGAATCTAAAGAAAGCCCTTTGAAAAAAAAAAAAAAAAAGGAAAACCCCAACATATGTCTAAGGAAAACAAATTGTAGTTGCTAAGGAACAAACAACAACAAGAACCAAATCCATATTCATGAAAAAACAGAGTTAAGTAAAATATAAAAGAAATCAAAGGGCATATCTTGCTGATTTATGCATGCCTTGAGCTCCTCTAATTGGTTCTCAAACAGATTCCGATTGGACAAATGCCTCTTGCTTAATTGCTGAGAATCTCCTCCAATGTGGACACCACTAATTGTGTAAATAAATATGAAGTCCTAGTAGTAAAGTTTTGTTAGGTAAATGTGTTAAATTGGTTTTGAAAAAGCTATTATTTAATGTTTTTTTGATAAGTTATTGTTTTATGTTTTTAGGCCAGGGTTATTAGGAGTCTATAATAAGTGTTTTGTGTGCTAAGAGAAAAATGTGTCTCCTTTTGAGAGAAAGAGAGAAAAGTGAGGAGAGAGATGGGTAAAATGTGTAAGGAGTTTTTGGTAGACAGAGAAAGAGAAAAAGTTTGTTAAGTATGTAATTCTGAAACTGTTAGTGAAGTTTTTCTCCATCTTCTGTGGACGTAGGAAATTTTTTCAAACCACCTAAATCTTTGTCTTATCTATTTTTCTGTTCTTGTTATTTTAGTTTATTTTTCTGTTACGTGGGTGTATAGGTGTGGTTTTTCCCCAACAATTGGTATCAGAGTTGTAGTAAAGATTAAAAAAAAGTCACGACGATGTTCGGGATAAAGTTTGAGCATATTGAGTAGTTTAATGAAAAGAGTAATTTTAGCATCTGGCATAGTACGATCAAAGATGTTATGATTCAGTGGGGATTCCTAAAAGCGTTGTAAGAAAAAAAAAAGCCAAAAAATATGAAAGATGAAGATTGGGAAGACTTAGAAGTAAAAGCGGTAAACACTATTTGTTTAAGTTTGGCTCATGAACTGAAATATAGTATTATGAATGTGACATCTCCTTTTAAGTTATGAAAAAAATTAGAAAAAGTTTATAGGTCGAAATCCCTAATAAATAGATTATATTTGAAGAAACAATTGTACGAGTTGAAGATGGATGAGAAAAGTGATGTTAGGGATCATATAAATAATTTTAATAAGTGAATAAAACTCAATTGTTAAGTGTAGAGGTCAAAATTGATGATGAAGATAAAGCAGTAATTTTGTTAGCTTTCCTACCCAAATCATATGAGACTTTGGTGACTACACTGTTAGTTAAAAAGACGACATTGACTGTGGATGAGATGTCGATTGCTCTGTTAGAGACTGCAAATATGAAGAAGCCAAGTAGTACGTCTCATACTAAACAAGGTTTAGTGGCTAAGTCAGATTCAAATAAGGGTAGGAGTAAGTCACGAGGGATATGTTATGTCAAGAGAGATGATCGTTCCTAATCCCAACTAAGGAAGAATATTGAGTGCTACTATTGTCATAAGAAGGAGCATTCTAGGAGAAACTGTGAAGAACTGACAAAACACCTTGAAGAAAAGAGAAAGCAAGAAACCCATGAGACTTCAGATTCTACAAATATTGTTGGCGACAAGTATGATAATGAAGATGATGTTTATTCTGTTATTACTAATGAAAATATTTCTAACTCTTGGATCTTAGATTTTGGATGCTCGTTTCATATGTGTCCATAAAAAGAGTGGCTTGATTCTTATAAGTCCAGTGATGCTAATACTTTGTTGATGGCTAATGATTCTAATGCTAAAGCTATTGAAATAGGTACTGTAAAGGTGAAGATATTTAATGGAGTTGTGAGGACATTAACACATGTTAGCATGTTCCTCAACTAAGGAGAAGTTTGATTTCTTTAGGAGTTTTGGACACTTTGGGTTATAAGAACTATGCGAAGGGTAGTTTTATGCAAGTCAAGAAGGGTGAAAAAGTGAAAAATTGAGACTACAATTGTAGGTAGAGCTATGAAGGTGAAGCCAAGCCACAAAGAATCTTCTTGTGTTGTGAAAGAAGTTACAGGAGTAAAAGAGTGCAACAAGATGATAACAGTTGAAGATGATAAAGACAAGACAGTGAAGACTTATAGCAGTGAAGATACTTTGAAGAAAAAGAAGACAATTTTTTGTGTCAAGTTTGATGAGAGTATGAACTTGATACATGTTTATTCTTGTTGAAGTTTGCATTGTCGGTGTGATGACGGGTTTCGAGATTGGATACCCATATGTTTGAGTTGAGAGAATTTGATTCAAGGTGGAGATTGTTAGATAAGTGCTTCAAATTAGTTTTGAAAAAATTACTATTTCATGTTTTTTAGTAAGTTACTGTTTTCTATTTTTGGGCAAGAATTATTTGGAGTATAATTAAGTGCTTTGGGTAAGGCTTTGTGTCCTAAGAGAAAAATGTAAAGAAAGAGTGCATTCTTTTGAGAGAAAGAGATAAAAGTAAGGAGAGTGATAAACAAAGGGTGTAAGGGGTTTTGAGTAGAGAGAGAAAGAGAGAAAGTTTGTTGAGTGTGTAACTTTAAAAGTGTTAGTGAAGTTTTTCTTCCTCTTCCATATACGTAAAAAAAATTTTCGAACCACCTAAATATTTATTTTCTCTATTTTTCTGTTATCTTTGTTTCATTTTATTTTTAGAGGTGTGTTTTTCCCTACAATACATTAAGGGAAAAAATGTATATATAAATATGTAGCTGCAATGGAACATAACATTATTGGAAAGCTTTACAACAGAAACATTTCTCACACATCTTGGCACCAAGAATAAATACCCTTTTATCCTAAAAAAAAGAATAAAAACCCTTTTCTTATATAAATAAACCGTGAAACTTAGGGTGCGTTTGGAATTGGTTTCAAAACGTTTTTATTTTCTGTACGAAAATGAAAATGAAAACGTTTTTAGTTTCATTTTTGAATTATTTTTAAAAATGCGTTTGGTAGTTTTATTTAGAGATTGATTTCAGTTTTAAAAAAAACTGAAACTGCGTTTGGTGGTTTAATTTTTGAAAACATGTAATAATATATTAAATAATAATATTTATTAAATATATTAAATAAATA